TTATCACCCCATGGCTTTTCTTGTTTAAGGGATACCTTCAGCCATTATACTCCTTCCCTGCTCCTGCCCTCACCGCCCCAATAGATTATTTCAAGGCAAATCCCAGACAAAGCTCTTTCTAAAATCAATCCTATTTTTTTTTCAAAGCTGTCTATTTTGCTTGCTATAAACTTCCACAGGGCTTTCAAATATCTGATTAAATCTATATGATAGTTCAAATATAAATGCAAGGAATAAAATTATACCTGAAAGTTATATGAGTTTTTAAAAAATATACCTTATTTTTTAGAGCAGTTTTAAATTCACAGCTAATTTCCCACATGCCCTGTGCCCATGCTGCCCTCCCCACCATCTCCCACCAGAATGGTACATTTGTGGTGAACCTACACTGACACATCCTTATCATCTAAAATCCATTGTTTATATTAGGGTTCACTCTTCCTGTTGTATATTCTGTGGTTTGAACAAATTTGTAATGACATGTATCCACTATTATGTATCATACAGGGTAGTTTCACTGCCCTAAAAGTCCTCTGGGTTGCACCTATTCATCCCTCCCTCTCAAAGTTATGCAAATTTTGATGTTACTTTTTCACTTCCAACAGATGCAAGGAACCATTTAATTGATTTAAAAACAACAGGTGAATCAGCTAACTTGATGTTTCCTGACATTTGGCTGCCCCCTTTCTGCCAGTTGTTTACTGTAATGAAATAAGACAAAACTTGTACATTCCTAAATGTAATAGTTTATTTTTAATTTATAAAGACATAGTTTTGGTGATTATTTATAGAAGTCAGATAATGCAAATAGTAACTAATGGATTTGTGTTTTTCTAGACATGTTCCCTGCATCTTAAACATCACAAAAGTCTCTTGGAGATCACTTGTCCTTGGGCCCTACGAAGTCATGACTCCTCTGTGTGCTTTATGTGACATCACAGCCTAAGTGACCAGCAGACCATGCTACACCAACTGCCAAAGGCTGAGATGAGGAGAACGTGAGTGATAAGATGCTTCCTCTCCCTGCTCTCTTTCTGAAGGTGATAAACTGTCCTATTCTTAAAGTTTTCTTAAAGGTGGATATCTTTTTTTCTCCACTTTAATTTTAAAAAGTTCTTTGTTTTTATTTTTAGAATAGACTGAGCGGGGGGCTTTTAGGAGAATGAATTTATGCTTATATATAAATACTGCATATTGATAAACATAAGTAGGTACTGAGTATTGAGTATATATGATATATACACAAGCAGTTCGGCTGTGAATATATCAAATATATTGAACATAAATAAATTTTGAGATTTCATATATTTCTGAATTCTAACAAATTTGTTTTAACTTTAGAAGAAAGTTCAAATATACATAATGCCCAGAACTAATTTTCAAGTTGGGCTGTCTGTAGCCCCAAGTACTCTACCCAAGGGTTTCAGGGCTCACCTGGAGGTGTGAGAGTCCATAGACAGTTGAGCGCACAAGAGCCTGATGAGTTAGTGGGGCCTCATATTCTTCCCATTTTTTCCCAACGAGAGCAGTTCTGTTGTATGTAGTAAGTATCTGCACCATACTTTGTTTAAAGAAAGGGTTCCCTCATCTAAGTTTGAATATCAGTAGTCTACAAAAATAGCACTTTGATGAAATCTTATGTCATCAGAGGGCAGGCTTCAGGGAACCATGAATCCAGAATAGAACTAGGGAATAGGTGTTCCACTTTATGGGAAATTTTATTTAATATGTTCAGAAAGGAAAGTAGGAAAACAAGTATTGTAATTAAGATAATAATATTCATGTATAGAAGAATATGGTGAACATGCAATATTGTTAAAGATTGTAGTTTACCTTTTAAGGTATTGTTTCTATTTTACAGAAAATAAAATCTGGAGATATTCAGTACAAATCCAAGTAATATAGGATTTAAGTGGGCAAGTTGGGTTCTGAATTCAAGTCTGTTTGACCTTAAATTCTGCTTTAACATGTTATGATTTTAATTTTGGGTTTCTAGGAGACTGAAAGAAAAAGGGACAAATGCAATGGGGCTGGTTTTAGGGGTAAGATGAGTTTGTTTTTGAGGTTTTATATGCTGGTAGATTGTTCAGCAAGCATCTAGAAAAGTAGCATTTGGCCTTAGAGAGTGGTGGGGCTTTAACTGCACAGATGAGAAGGCGGGGGGGACCAAGTTTTGACTAACAATAATATGTCCAGGTTAGAATGAAATGGAATCAGGTACGGAAAAGTTTGGGAAAGAGGAGAAAGTTGTAAGGAGAAATAGAAAATGTAGCATCACCAAAATAGGAAAAAACATTTGTGTTGAGGAAAAGATTGTCAAAGCTGTTAAATGCTGCAGATGTCAAAGAGGCAGGCCTTGACTTTTGGCAATTAGGAGAAAGAGTTGGCGTCAGTGGTTTCAAAAGAGGATTTACACAGGGGCCAGTATGTAATGAATTAAAAAAAAAGATGGAGATGTTAGGGAAAGAGGTCATCTATTAAAGTCTGTAGACCCTTCTTTTGAGATCTTGAAAAAAAAAGAATGGGAGTGAAATTAGTGCATGGTATCTAGAAGAAGGAACAATGTCTAGAGAAGGTTTTTTGATAGGGCAAACTGGGCATCTTTATAACTTGATAAGAAAGAGCCAGTTGAAAGGGTAGAAGATTGAAATGCAAGTGAAGAAAGGAAAATGACTTTCTTTCTTCAAAAAAGAAAAAAAGTTTTTTTTTTTTTTAAAGATTTTGTTTATTTGAGATCGAGAGAGAATGAGTGGTGGGGAGAGGCAGAGGGAGAGAGAGAGAGAGAGAGAGAAGCAGACTCCCTGCTAAGCAGGAAGCCTGATGCAGGGCTCTATCCCAGGACCCAGAGATCATGACCTGAGCTGAAGGCAGACGCTTAACCGACTGGGCCGCCCAGGTGCCCCCAAAATTGGAAGAACATAAACAATAGTAAACAGCACCTATAATCAACCACTAAAAAGTTATAAAGAATAAGTTAAAGGCCCTTCTTAAGCACTCCAATCTACAAATCCCTCTCCTACTCCATTTTCCCTGTTAATAGTTTGGCACAAATGTTTTTCAACTTCTTCCTTTATTTAAATAAGCATTCCCCCCACCCCTTTGCATATGTATCCAAATATTCTTTTAAAGAAATAAGATAAAATGCCATATATATTTTTCAAGTTGCTTCTTTCAGTACATCAATCATGAAGATTTTTCTAGGTCAATACACACAATCATCAAATATATCTCATGCTTTTTAACAGGTGCATAATGTTCTTTTGTTTGGCTACATCACAATTTATATAGAAATTCCTTCATTTATGAACCCTTCTTGGTACCTTCATTCTATTTTTTTTTAAAGATTTTATTTATTTATTTGAGAGAGAGGGAGAGAGAGAGGGAGAAGCAGACTCCCTGCTGAGCAGAGAGCCCGATGTGGGACTTGATCCCATGACTCTGGGATCATGACCTGAGCCGAAGGCAGATGCCTAATGGACTGAGCCACCCAGGCGCCCGTACCTTCATTCTAAAAAGGGGATTGGTGGGTGTGTTGGGCTGAATGATAGCCCCTGAAGGCATCTTCACTCTAATCTCTGGAACCTATGAATGTTACCTGACATGGCAAAAGGTGCTTTGCAGATATGACTATTGACTTACTCAGTACAACTGGATATTGAAGTGAGAAGATTATCCTGGATTATCTCAGTGGGCCCTAAATATAATCACAAATGTCCTTATCAAAGGAAGGGACAGGGAGAGTTTACGACAGAAGAAGTGCATGTGATGCCAGAAGCAGAGAGAAGCAGTGTCAGGAAGATAGAAGATGCTATACCACTGGCTTTGAAGGGGGAAGAAGGAGCTATGAGCCCAAGGAAATAGATTTTCCCCTGAATCCTCCAGAAGAAACCAGTCTTGCTGACACCTTGATATTGGCCCCATAAGACTCATTTCAAATTTCTGGCCTCAGAACTGTAAAAGATAAATTTTTGTTGGTTTAGGCGCCAAATTTGTCCTAATGTAGTATGACCTCATCAGAACTTGGTTACATCTACAAAGACCTTATTTCCAAATAAGGTCACATATATACGTACTGGAGGTTAGACCTTGAACATACCTCTTTGAGGGACCAATTCAACCCCCACACCTGTTAAAAAAAATAAATTGTTTTTAAGTTTGGTTTCTGGGAACTTGCCAGATATTAATAATGCTGGAATTATTATTGCCTCACTCAGTTACAACATTCTTGCTGGATTTGGGATTTCAGGAAATCCCAGAGGAAAGAGGGAGGGAGGATGGGTGGATATTTAGAGGATAATGAATTTGTTATGGAGCAGAGAGCATCTCAAAATATATACATGCAGCATATCATTTTCATAAAGTTAGTGAGCAAAACTAAACATTATTTTTGCACAAAGAGATATAGAATGTGAGTGTGTGTAACATATATTTGAAGACCCTCTAAAGAAAAGCAGCAAAGTGGGGGGACGATGGAAAGAGCACACAGGATTCTCCAGTGTGTTGGGTTCATGTGTGTTCATTACTAGCATACATTGTTTAAAATCTTTTCTATGTAATAAAATGGCATATGTATTATGCTTAATGTTAAATTGTGCCTCTATAATAACGTGTTTTTTTAAATGGCACAGAGACGGTAGGAAATACACTTTGAGAATGGGACTCACACTCTAAGCCCGAAATCAATATTGGAAAACGGCACCAACTTCTTCATTAAGGTAATTTTTCTAGGTGTCCCTTGGAAAAGCTGAAAGATGACAGGGTACTGGGTAAACTCAACGGTAATTATAAAACCGTGAGTAAAAGAACTTGTGCTTCCATGAAACTCAAGCACCAACAATTCAGCAGGCGCACAGCATCCCCAGAACCACCGTTTCCACTGTGGTTCTGCACATTCCCCGCTAAATGCCTGATGGAAACGCAGTCTACGCAAACACCTTCGCCCGTTTCCAAAATGACGGCTGCAGCGCCCACAATACACGTACAGCGCAAGTCCGGAAGTTACGCAACCTCATAAGGCAGCGCGCCCTTACCCGTGGGGAGAGTTTCCGCCATTTTTGAAAATCGGGAAGGTCCGGGGCAAAGTGTAGTTGGTGCTGCGATGGCAGCCTTTGCTGTGGAACCCCAGGCGCCCACGTTGGGTGAGTGAAAAACTGCTTTTTCTCTCTGGCGCTGCGATCCACGCCGTAGGCCTGGGAGCAAGCAAGATTGAAAGCCAGTAGTCATCAGGCTCTTTGCTAGTTTCGGTCGCGGGGATAAGTCCCTGGTTCACCCCCAAGTTTCTAGTTGTCCCCTTGCTCAGGGCGTCGCCACCCTGCAGCCAGCAAGGCGGCTCCGGGAAGCTGCGGGCTCTGGGTAGGGTGTGGATATGACTGTCGAGTGGTTACGACGCCGTTTTGTTTCCCCCCACACGCGGGCTGCGCTCGACCTGCCCATACCTGAGACCTCCCGGGGCTGGGGACGCAATGCTGGGTTCCCAGATTCCGGGAGGCTTTGGTGGGAAGGAACTGACCCGCGTACACGTGGGTGGGCGGTGCCCTGGAATGTGGTTACAGTTTACGGTTCTTTGGTCACCAAGGCTTTTAGTTCCTATTTGATTCTTTCCCTCTCCTGGGCCTTGTAAAAGGAATCTGTTATTAATAGAAACTTGAATTGTGTGACATTTAACCCGTTGATGATAGCTCTGGAGATATTGGAGTTAATAGGAGGCCAGCAGTTCGTACCATTTTCCCGCCTTTATCTTGGGGAAGTGACTTTGGAGGAGGTCTTTTCTACTAATCAGTCACGTAATGAATTTTTTAAAAAATTTCCATTGTTTAACGGAGAGCCTTGCTGAAAATGTTGAAAAAAAAAAAGTGAACAGGATGTCGATTTCCTTTTTTTTTTTCCTGACTTTTGGCACTTGTGAGAACCGTCAAAATTTTTAGAGCAGAAAATTGCTATCATAGAGACGCATTTGAAAATTAAGCTACAACATTCCGAGCTTGGAAAAGAGCAAGCGCGATATGTGTTTGTAGAACGAGTTTTTTTAGATTTGAGGGGTGTTTAGTGCTTGCCGTGCTTTGTGCAAAATGTTTCTTTTGAGACTAGAGTAACTTGAATTGTTTTAGTATTAGTCATAAAAAACTAAATGTATAATGTCAGTGCAGATACTCTGCTACCTTTAAACTTATGTACAGATGTTGGTCTAGGAATTTATGTTTTGTGTTATTTTAGAGAGCAGGAGACCATTCATTTCCAGTTCCAAAGTTTTCTATTCAACAAAACATTTTGGGAGTGCACACTATTTCTTAGAGCTGCAAATGTGAATAAACTTGTCCCTCTGTTCATTGCCTGGTTAGAAAGCCGACATTTGCTGATATTAATTGTTCAAGTCCACATATTGCAGGTATTGCAGGTGAAGAATAAATAATTTTCCCAGCACCTAATGTTATATTAAAATTAAGGGTTACTTGAGCAAACAGTGCTAGCTGAGTAAGACCTAGGACTTATCATTTTATGTGTACAAACCATGAAATGGAATTTAAGACTTACAGGATCCATTGTGATAACTCTCCAAGTGAAATTTAGACTGAGGAGTGGTTATTAACAGGTGGATTAAGACCCCTTTGTGCCCTCACTCTGGTGCTTTCTAGTGTATCAGAGTATATATCAGAACTTTTCTTGACTTAATTCTTCTTACAATTGCCATATGTTTTTTTCTTTTGGGGGATGGGAGAATGAGGTAGTAGGTGGTACCTAAAACTTTGTATTTACTACTATAGGTTTATAAAGATCTGTTCAGAATATGCCATTGTTTAGACTCTGGTGTGTATGTTCTTTGGAAATATGTAATGGTAACATAGTAACATAGCACTTTAAAATAATCACAGTGTAGTTACAGTTCTTCACAACTTATTTCAGTATTTGCTTTATTTTTTCCTGAATGACTTTGCCTTTTATACACTTGCATTGGCATTGTTAATATCTAGGTCTACTGTAATGAGGAAGGATAAATAATTCTGCATTTGGATAGCAAGAAACAAATTTTTGAGGCTGCTTAAAAGTCAAGGAATAGTTAACCATTATAAATAATACATCAAATGTTTGACCTTTCTGAGTGCCATGAATCACATTCAGGCTTGTCACATAGTTGAAAACTTAAGTTTTCATAAGCAGAAATTGCAAACTCTGCATTTACATTTTAGTCACTTAGTTTTTGCTATTCTAAGATAACCTTAGAATAATAACTAGTGTTTGCTGAGCACTTACTGTATATTAGGTACTGGGTCAAGTGCTATATTTGCTATAATTCTAAGCAAAGCTCTGTGACTGTTTATGTAACCCTTTTTGCCGAGAGACTTGAACCCAGGTCTCTGACTCCAGCGCCCATGTTTTCCTTACCGTGCTATTTTGCTCTGAAATTAGAGTAGGTTATAGACTCCTTATCTTCATAGTGGGAATAATAATACCTACCCTGTAAATTGTGAAAATTAATTTTGACTTGATGATTGTGAAATATCAGCTCTCTTTAAATTGGTTTTAGGTTGGGGAGACTTTCGTTGATTATTCCCAACTTTAAAATTATTTTAAAGAATGATCCAAAAAATAAACTTTCCAAATTTATCAGTGTTTCTTAGTTGGGATGCTAGTCATTACTATTATTTTATATGTGCTCTAATGTGTGCATGATTTTACTTTTATTACACAAATGATTTACAGTTTTTGTTTGTGGGAAAGAAAAAAAATGGGACATATAGCAAGCTAAACCCATTGTGTTTGATTTGCTAAGGCTTTCTGTAAGTAACTAGTGCGCCCTGCCCTTGTTTTTGGTTGTTGCATAGTAGAAGCTGACCCAGAAGTTATTCTGTGTGTAGTAAGAATTTTTTTAAGGTAATCCAAAATTTTTCCATTTAAAAATAAATGTTGATTCTTAAACCTGTGAAATAATGTAAACAAGAACAACTGGCAGATTAATATTGTTAGTAAAAATACTTCTACATTTTTATAGATGGTTTTTAAAATAATAAATTCAACTATGCTTCTGTATTAAGTTTTGATTAAATTCTCAAAATTATTTATGCTAGATTCTTGCATCTTTTTGTTAGATATTGTAACTTTGAGGTCCTTCATTTTATTTTTTGCTTCATTTAGGATCTGAACCAATGATGCTAGGTTCACCAACATCTCCAAAGCCAGGGGTTAATGCCCAGTTCTTACCTGGATTTTTAATGGGGGATTTGCCAGCTCCAGTAACTCCACAACCTCGATCAATCAGTGGCCCTTCAGTAGGAATAATGGAAATGAGATCACCTTTACTTGCAGGTAGGTAAATTGCTTAAAATAATTTCATAGTACTATTAATACATGTATTAGAGTTTTAAAAAGAGTAATGATAAAACATTCACCCTTATCAACACATTTATTAATTAAAAAATTAAGCAATGCCTCTTTTTAATTTTTAGATTCTTGGAATAGAGGTATAAGTAGTATAAGCTAATGTTAATTTCAGGAACCAGTCATTAAAACTGTGTGTATTACATCTCATCCAATTTAAGATGCCCTTGATTGTAAAACTCACTATTATTTAAAGTACCACTAAGGAAGAAAAGCACTAAATATGATACAATGCCAAGATACCATTTTTTGTAAATTATCCATATCAAAGATGTTAAAAATGTGGAGGGCTGGGGAAGAAATATGGTCATTTAACTTCAACTGAATCATTTTAATTCATTTAAATAATTTATCTTAAATATGGTAATAGCAGATATTTAGTCAAAATAACTGTAATTTGTCTTTTTAATTGAAGTATAATCAACATACAATGCTATATTAGTTTCAGTGTACAACATATTGACTTGAAAATTTTATATTAGTGCTCACCATAAGTGTAGTCACCATCTGTCACCATACAACGTTATTACAATATTACTGACTATATTCCCTATGCTGTACTTTTCATCTCTGTGGCTTGCTTATTTTATCTGGAACCTTGTTCCTCTTAATCCCCTTTATTTTGCCCATCCTCTCACTCACCTCCCCTCTGGCAACCACCAGTTTGTTCTCTGTATTCAAGAGTCTGGTTTGTTTTATTTGGTTGTTTTTTTTAGAGTCCATGTATATGTGAAATCATGGTATTTGTCTTTCTCTGTCTGACTTACTTCACTTAGCACAGTACCCTCTAGGACCTTGATAGATGAATGGATAAAGAAGATGTGGTATATGTACACAGTGGAATATTACTCAGCCATAAAAAAGAATGAGACATTGCCATTTGTGACAATAGGAAGTGTAATTTGAAATTTGTAGATATGAATTCTACTTCTAGTCTTAGTGATTAAGATTCTCACCTTGTTTAGTTAAAGGATTTACTCTACAAACTATGGGTTTTTTTTTTTTTTACACAGGATTCACAATTATCAGCATAAAATATCAATACCTAAATGAAGCATATATCTTACATGACTCCATTAGCAAAGAAAGAATTTAAAAGGTAACTGAAGTTTTGACTATGAGTAGTGAGAATTAGCTACAAAAATGGTTGAATTCGGGGCACCTGGGTGGCTCAGTCCTTAAGCATCTGCCTTCAGCTCAGGTCATGATTCTAGGGTCCTGGGATCGAGTTCTGCATCGGGCTCCCTGCTTGGCGGGAAGCCTGCTTCTCCCTCTCCCACTCCCCCTGCTTGTGTTCCCTCTCTCACTGTGTCTCTGTCAAATAAATAAATCAAATCTTTAAAAAAAAAAAAAAGGTTGAATTCCAAATGTGAGCTAATATCCTTTTAATGGATGTTTAAATGGAAAACTTCTTACTTTGATTGTCCTTAAGATATTATTTATTTTAAAGTGGTTTATTATTATTTTAAGATTGATCAGGGATAATATAAATTGTATTTGAAGTAATTGACTTAATCCTGTTCTGGATAGGATTTTGTTTTTTATGCAATTGACCCTCGAACAATGCAGGGGTTAGGAGAACTGAACCCCTGGACACTTGAAAATACTCATATAATTTTGACTCCCCGAAAACTTAACTACTAATTGCCTACTATTGACTGGAAGCCTTACCAATAACATAAATAGTCGATTAACACTTATTTTGTATGTTATATGTATTATAAACTATCCATATGGTAAAGTAAGCTAAGGAGAAGAAAAGGTTATTAAGAAAATCATAAGGAAGATGGGGCGCCTGCATGACTCAGTAGGTTGGCCATCCGAATCTTGATTTCTGCTCAGGTCATGATCTCATGGTTCTGGAATTGAGCCCTTTGTTGGGCGCTGCACTCAGCAGAGAGTCTGCTTGAGGATTTTCTCTCCCTCTCCTTCTGCCCCTCTCCCCACTTGCACACTTTCTCCCTTTCTTTCTCTAAAATAAATAAATAAGTCTTTTAAAAAAACCATAAGGAAGAGAAACATTCGCAGTACTATACTGTAAAAAAAAATCTATGTATAGGTGGACCTGTACCGTTCACACTTGTATTTTTCAAGGGTCAAATGTATATTTTAAATATATTTTTATTGTAGCTACTATATATTGAGTACTTATAAGCCAGGCAGTATGCTAAGCATTTTATATGTTACTTTCATTATTTTGTCAATCTTAAAGGATAAGTGGTAGTATCTACCTGATTTTCAAAATAGGAAACTGAGGCTTAATGTAATAAAGAACTTGCTTAAGCCTATTTGTTAATAAGTGACAGAGGAGGAGGTTAAAGTGTAGGTCAGTCTTGTTTTATAGCCTATGCTCTAAATAGCTTATTCTATACTATTTAAGCTTAGACATTAAGTCATAACAGAGTCTAGATTGTTTCACTGTTTGGCATTGCTGATTCTCTGACTTGTAAAGACATCTTTATGTTCCCAAAAGTTGATCCTTTTCCTATATATTTATTATGTACTTAAATATACTTCTATTGTGAGAAACATGAATGGGATCTATTTAATTTTGACAGTCAAATGCCACATTAAGGGATTATATTTATTCAGGTATATACAAGCTGGAACTGTTTACCTACTTTCAAGTGAGAAATAGCATTAAGTTTTGTATTGAAATGTTAAGGATTTTGTAGAGAAAGCAAAAGCTACATGTATTTACTAAAAACTAAAATTTCTGTTTTCTTATTCTGAAACCTTTTATTTGCATAACTGGGAGCTTGTTAGAAATTCATAATCTCAGTCTGCACTTCACATGTTCTGAATCAGAATTTGAATTTTAACAGGATTCCCAGGTGATTCTTCAGTGTATTGAAGTCTGAAAAGCCCTATGAAACAAGAGTTTAAATCAGTATTTTAAAAATATAAATGAAAAAGAATCTTACCAGAAAGGTGGAAGATTTTTTCTCACCTGAGTGTATTTTTTGTACATTGTAGGTGGGTCACCACCACAACCAGTTGTACCAGCTCATAAAGATAAAAGTGGAGCTCCACCAGTTAGAAGTATCTACGATGATATTTCTAGCCCAGGACTTGGATCAACACCTTTAACTTCAAGAAGACAGGTGACATACATACTGTTTATGATCCACAATGATTTCATGTTTTTATGTGGATGCACAGTGAGGATCAGTAATTTAAAGTGTTTTTCTGAGGTCTGCTTTAGTGTAACTGTGTTGTACAGAATAAGCACTAAGGACATTTATCATAGAATCTACTTAAATTGTGTTTATCATGAAATGTACTTAAAAATGTAATAGAACACCAGATTATTTTCTCAGATCAGTAATTCTGTGGTTTTACAGGTTCTGATCTTATTATTTCAGTTGATCCTTCCTCAGGGTGAATTTGCAAAGTAGCTATTATGAGCTTCATTTTATCATTGAGGAAACTAGGACACAGAAAGCTTAAGTAATTTGTCAACTAGTCTAGTGGAGCCAGGCTTTAAAGGCAGTCTTCAGTCTAGAGCCAGTGTTTGTAACAGCCATGCTGTGCTAACACTACTGTGGTTAACTCTTGTTTGTTAGTGGAAAGGTAGTATGGATTTTTCTTTTAAGTATGAAGTTTAGTAGCCTGTATAGTCACAAGTGTTCTGTCACTATTGTGCTTTACAGGACTTAAAACAGTGTGTCAGTTAAACTGATAAGTTATTTGAATAAAGACATTTCTGCTGTTTGGTTTGGAGAAATGTTTTGTCTTTCCCTAAACCAAATATAGCATAATTATTGGAAAGTTTAAGAATGGTAGGAAGCATCTTTCAGTAAATTTTGACTATTTATAGGCTTGATACGCCTAGCATACTAGGCCTACTTGTTAAGCAAAGCAAAATTAATTCATTGTGTTAAGCACATACCTTCTCTTTCCAACACTTTTATAACTGCTCTACTGTCCCAACACAGTAGCCACTGGCCAAGTGTGGCTGTTGACACTTGAAATGTGGCCAGTCCTGTACTTAATTGAGATATACTTAAGTGTAAAATACACACCAGATTTTGAAGACTTAGAATGAACTATCTCGCTTACTTTTTTATATTAATTACATATTCAAAGTGATAATAATTTGGATGTACTAGATTAAATAAACTGTACTTGTTTTTACTTTCTTAATGTGTCTACTATAAAATTTAAAATTACTTATATTGCTTGTGTTATATTTGGACAGTGGTATTCTAACTAAATGAGAATATTCTGGCCTGGGATAGTTTTCTAAAGGTTGACAAGTAAATCTGATGTTTAGTTTGGTATGAGAACCACTGGCTTAAAAATTCATGCTAGTTTTCATTACTTCTGTGATGATCAATGAAAGCAAAGGTTGTTTACAGTTATTGCTATGTTCAACATGTTTAAAAGCCTTGTGTCATAATTTGTAGAGAATGTTTTTGACTTAAAGTTTGGTAAGAATATTATTATTAAAGCCCCAATTAATTTTGCCCCTGAGGCTTTGCTCAGCCTCTTTCTATTCAGACTCCATGCATGGAGCCTGTTGTGGAGCTCAATCCCATGACCCTGAGATCATGATGTGAGCCGAAATCAAGAGTCGGCCACCCAGGTGCCCCCCAAAAATACATACTGAATAATGTCTTCTGAATTACTAAAAACTGTAATTTAAAAAAAAGGTGTTGCGATTAGGAAGAAAAGGAATACAGAGACTGAGGAATAAAGGTGTTTTGAAAGAAACTGGCATTAAGAATTGAACAATAAAGTATTTTGTATCTCTCTTAACATTATTTCAACATTTGGTTCTGGTACTAGATAATAGCCAGATTTTAGATTTCCTTAATCAGAGTTTGTTACAAAAGAATCTGTATTTGTATATTTACTTCTGGAGAGTCTATTCTTACTCTTGATTAGATATTGTTGTCTTTGTTTATAGGACTTTTAACTGTTTAATCTTTAATTTTCTCACATTTAAAGGAATTAGTATTGATAATTTTCCTGCTTTGTAACTTCCTACTAGTAGAGACAGAGATATGCTGTCTTTATTATATAGACTGATTTGAATCTGTATTATTTTATGGTTTGTAAATGTCTGTTTAAAAATGGGATTCTGCCATCTTTGTATTTTTCTGTGTGAGCTTGGTGAAATGAAGAATCACCATTCTCTCTGTTATTTCAAATACTATACCTTAGGAACTAAAAACAAATAGCAAAGTTACTTTCTACTAAAAATAGTGCCTTTATGTGATGTAACATTTTAAACAAAGAATATGCTAAAGGGTCTAGCATATTTTAGATTAATACTGCTCAACTTAAAAAGGAAAAAAGTTGGAGTACTCTTAGATTGTGAACTAATTAGGGGCATCTATAGTACTTGGTAGACATGCAGTTGTCTGTTAAATAAGACCTTTCAACACTTACTGTGTTATGGTTATGGTTAGAACTTTGTGCTTTTACTTTAACACTTTATTCTATTTTCATGTAGCCAAACATTTCAGTAATGCAGAGTCCTCTTGTTGGAGTTATGACAACTACTCCTACTCCTGGAACAGGTAAATAACACTTTAACATCAAAGAGTCTTCTCTCCTCTTTGAGATAATATAAGACTTTGTTGATCATTGCCAAAATTTTTTCTTTTATATTTCAAACTTGGAGACTTTCTCAAGTGTTAGTAACTTCATTCAGAGAGGAAATACTTTGCTTATTGGGTTTTTTTTCCTGAATTTATAGGTAGTATGTGATATTCTCAAAATATTAAGAGTTTAAAAAAACACACTTTTTTTTTTTAAGATTTATTTATTTATTTGAGAGAGAGAGAGAGCATGAGAGGGGGAGGGTCAGAGGGAGAAACAGATTCCCTGCTGAGCAGGGACCCCAATGTGGGACTTGATCCTGGGACTCCAGGATCATGACCTGAGCTGAAGGCAGTCGCTTAACCAACTGAGCCACCCAGGCGCCCACACAGTCTTTTTTTTTTTTTTAAGATTTTTATTTATTTAGAGAGCGTGCACGCAAGAGTGGGGGGAGGGAGGGGGGAGAGAGAATCTCAAGCAGACTCCATGCATGGAGCCTGTTGTGGAGCTCAATCCCATGACCCTGAGATCATGATGTGAGCCGAAATCAAGAGTCGGCCACCCAGGTGCCCCCCAAAAATACATACTGAATAATGTCTTCTGAATTACTAAAAACTGTAATTTAAAAAAAAGGTGTTGCGATTGGGAAGAAAAGGAATACAGAGACTGAGGAATAAAGGTGTTTTGAAAGCTGTTAATGCATACCTATAAATCTAAATGTCATTAACTGCAAACAACCACTGATTATATGCAATTTTTCTTGAAGATTAGTGGTATTTTTATCACCATCAGCATCATCATTAGCATAATCTTCTTACATATTCATATAATCTGTCAAATGTTCACTCAGCAAATATATGAATACATATATTCGTGGGACCTGGGAAACTGAACAAAATATATAAACCTTGCCTCTGTGGAGCTTGCATTTATTTACAGAATTTACATTTATAGATAAAATAATTAAATTGTAAAGTTCGTTAGAAGGTAATGCATTTTATGGAGAAAATTAAGCAGCAAAGGGGGAAAGTAGGGGATGTCAGGGCTTATAGATTTAAATAAGGTAGTATATTAATTTTCTATTGCTGCCATAACAAATTACTACAAACTTAAAGGTGGCTTAAACAACAGTTCTAGAGGTGAGAAGTCTGAAATAGGTCTCAGTGGGCTGAAATCAAGGCACAGATAGGTAAGGCTGTATTTAGTTTATAGAGGCTCTGGGGGACAATCTGTTTTTTTGCCTTTTCCATCTTCTAGAGGCTACCCATATTTCTTTGCTTGTGATCCCCTTCCTCTTCTTCAAAGCAAAACTTTGCATTTTTCTAGTCGTTCTTCTGTAATCACATCTCTGCTCCTCCCCTCTCCCCTTCTTTTAAATACCTTTGTGAGTACATTGGACCCTTCTGGATAATCCAGGATAATCTAATTTTAAGGTCAGCTGATTAGCAGCCTTAATTCCATCTGCAACCTTAATTCTTCTTTGCCATGTAACATGGCTTATTCCCAGGTTCCAGAGATAAGAACATAGACCTCTCTGGGGGCCATTACTCTGCTTCCTACAGAAAGGTAGAGGAAAAGTAATATTTGCTCAGAAACCTGAACTAAGGAAGGGAGGTAGTGACAGTGATCTAGAAAGAGGAAATAGCAAGTACAGAGGCACTGAGGTGGGAGTGTGTCTAGGGTGTTAAGGAGACTAGTGTGAAATGGAGCGAGTGAGGGGTAGAATAGTAGGAAATGAGGTCAGAAATATAATGGGCGGGGACCCATAGTACAGGGCCTTGTATGTCATGGTATCAACTGATCTTTACCCAGAGAAGGTGGAAAACAAATAGGATGAGACTGCTGCAGTGGTGATTATAGACTTTGGGGTGAGGGGAGGGTAGAAGCAAGGAGACCAGGTAAGAGGCTGCTACTGCATTAATCCAAATGAGGGACAAAGCAAGGTGGGAAAAGAGAAAAAAGGAACAACAAAGATGGAACAGAAGAAACAATAGCAAGACAGTAGATTTAAAATGAACCAAATCTACAGTTGTTATAAAGCCAAATGTACTGAACACTCCAGCAAAAGGCAGAGATCATCAGAATGGATAACAAAAGCAATATCCAATGACAGGTTAGATCTTTTTATCTTCTAGGTCCAGGTTTTTTGTAGCAGTCTGAATCTTCATTGGTGGCAGTGTCCTTAGAGTCACTTGTAGGTAGATTTCTACTACCAGTTTGATCAAAGCAATTTAGCCTTTTTCTGTTACGTACCTCAGATTTCTTCCAGGATCCACCCACCACCTGGTTCCAAAGCCACTTCCATGTTTTTAGGCATTTGTTGTAGCAGCACCCCCCTTGTATCAGAATCTGTGTTAGTTTTAATTTGCTGCTTTAACAAATTATCACAAATTTAGTAGCTTAAAACAATACAAACTTACTATTTTTTTAAGATTTTATTTTTAAGTGATCTCTACACTCAACGTGGGGCTCAGACTTAAAACTGTGACATCGAGTCTCGTGCTCTACCAATTGAGTCAGCCAGGCGCTCCCCTCCCCCCTCTTTTTAAGATTTTAAAACAATACAAATTTATTATCTTACAGTTCCTATGATTAAGATGTCTGGGCAGAGATTGTTTCTTTGCTTTAGAGTTTAGGTGTTTGGAGGGCTGTGTTCTAGAGGTTCTGGGGATGAATCCACTTCCAAGCTCATTCAGGTTGTTGGCTGAATTTACTTCCATGTTAAAGTACGACTGAGGTCCCTGTTTTTTTGCTTGCTGTTGCCTGGAGGTGTTTCTCAGCTTCTAGAGGCTGCCCTTAATCTTCGGCCTGTGGCTCCCTTTCCATCTTCAAAGACAGCTGTGGCAGATCAAGATCTTTTTTATACTTTCAGTCTCTCTGACCTCCCTCTTCTGTTGTTTCTCTTAACTTTTCTGTCATCTGCTGCTATTAAGGGCTCATTTGATTACACTGGGCCCACTGGAATAATCCAGGGTAATTCCTTATTTTGAGATCTAACTATTTAATAACCTTCATTCTATCTGCGAAGTCCCTTCTTAGTAGTACCTAGATTAGTGTTTGAATTACTAGTCAAACCAGGAGACAGAAACTTTGAGGGGATATCTTTAGATTTCTGTCTGCCACCTATATTATAGTGAAAATCTAGGTTTCTTACTTCAGTTTCAGTTACATATGTGAGGTGGAATGTTCTGGGGGAATTAGTCCAGGTTTTAATAGTCTTAATCTGATCATACAAATAGGTGGATGACAGTGCTGTTACTTGACTAGTTGCTACAGTAGTGACTATTCAGTTATTGAGTCAATAAATGATCCCAGGGACATTGAAAATGCAAAAACACGTAATGTTAAGTAATGTATTTTATGCTCTAAAGGATCTCTTAGTTGTTTGAAGAGCATGCATTATAATATTCTTATTGTTGTCAAGTGGAAGAGCACATGATTAAAGTTAATTCCTTTTGTTATCTTATTTTTTCTAATAGTGTAACTTCTATGAGGTTCTTGTATTTTTAGAAATTATATGTGAAAATACAAGAACCGTGGTAGGAAAATAAATGTATCATAAATTGACCACTGGAAGTCTTAATGGGGCATAAGTGAAAAAGAATATTTTTGAAAAGATGATAGGCATGAGGATCTATCATACATGGTCAGTAATAAGCAAGAATTGGGAAAAGGAGTTGAGAAAATTGAAGGGAAAACAGACTTTTTAGAGCTTTTTTTTTTTTAAGCTCCTATAACTAAATGAAGATTTCTTGTATAATTTGTAAATTTTAACTTTCTACGATGGGCAGCTTTTATAAAGGGATGTCATGGGATTTAATGATATGACTTATTTTATGCTTAGGTCTTTGTCCAGTAAGGAGTTTATTTGTTTTAATTTTGTAGCTGATGTTAAAATCTTTTTTTTTTTTTTAAAGATTTTATTTATTTATTTGACTGACAGAGAGATAGCGAGAGCAGGAACACAAGCAGGGGGAGTGGGAGAGGGAGAAGCAGGCTCCCCACAGAGCAGGGAGCCTGATGCGGGACTTGATCCCAGGACCCTGGGATCATGACCTGAGCCGAAGGCAGACGCTTAACGACTGAGCCACCCAGGCGCCCTGATGTTAAAATCTTTTTAAAAATCTTATTTCTGGTGCAGCGAAACCTTGGTCATATTACAAAGTGGGAATTCTAGATTAGAGAATTTCAGAAACTTTTTTCAACCATGGCCTTTTATTGCCCTGAATATGTTTGCCCTGTTTCCCCTTCCATACCCCTCAGTTTTCTTCTGCTACTATTTAAATATTCCTCTGCTTTTTATACTCTTTTAAATTTTCCTTAAAAAAAAATTTTTTTTTGAGAAGCTCTTTCCTGTATCTATCAGTTGTCTTCTCAGATGGTATACCAATTTTATCTACTGAATTAGAGTCATTATTTTAGCATATTGTTAACAGATTAAGTGTGATATTCAGACTATAGCACCTTCTGACTGCTTTTGTTGATGCTAGGAGCTCAGAGTTCTGATAATGTTCTCAGAAGGGAAGGAAAAGGACTAATTTATCTGTGAGGGACCTTTTCCTGACACTTCTTTTTCTGATCTGGGTTAGTGGTTCCTTGTATGTGCTCCTGTACAGCTCTTTCTGCTCAGCTCCTATCTTTTGCCATTACTGGATTATGAACTCCTTCAGGACAGAGATTCCTTCTATTTTTTCATTATTTACCCATCACAGAGCTGGTTATAAAGGGACCTCAGTAAATATTTGTTGACTGAATGGATTGGTGGATGTAAATTGTAGTGAGTTAAATGGTGGCTGTGAAATGGTATGTCCATGTCCTGATCCCTAGAACCTCTGTGGTTAAAACAAATGGTGTAAGATCTTGAGAGGAGGAGCTCCCAAGGAAAGCTAGGGAGTTAAGGAGAGAGAAGAGTGGGGAGAAGGTAATCCTGGTAATTACCTAGGTAGTCCCTAAATCCAATTACTAGTGTCCTGAACAG